CAAATTCGGTCCAATGAAATTTGTAGTAATAATTTACATATAAGACCATTGCTATAACCAATTCTATATATACAACACCATTCCTCCACTCACCAACTCAAACTTACGTTAAACCTTTGTATTCGTAAATCATCTAAAAACTAAGCCATGGGGAATTGCATAGTTCGTGAAGAGAGAGTGATCAGAGTCATGAAAACCGATGGAAAAATCCTAGAATATCAACCACCCATCAAAGTACACCAAGTTTTATCCGACTTCTCCGGTCATGCACTGTCGGATTCTTTTGCCGGCTTCCAGCACCTTCAGCTAGATGCAAAGCTGCTTCCAGGGCTGTTATATTACCTCATTCCTCTTCCATCACCGTCCCAAAAGAGTAAGAAAAAGAAGGTGAGGTTTTCGAATATTCCGGAGGTGAACGATGAACAAGGAAGAAGCCCTGGTGTTGTACGGATTAAGTTGATAATCAGTAAGAAAGAATTGCAAGACTTGGTTCAAAAGGGAGTTTCACTTCATGATATGGCTTCTCAGCTGCAAAGTAAACAAAGCACAAATGGTGTCGAGTACATATCTGATGATGATAACTGCAGAAGAAGGTGGAAGCCTGCATTAGAAAGTATAGCTGAAGTAAACTAGGAACCTATACATGTGTATATATATTATATATACTGCAACAACTATATGCATGTTTCGTTTATGAAATTTTGCAGATAAAAAAAGAGGCTTGAATCGTAGTCCTCGTTAACATCTTACATCCATTGATTTTGTTAGGCTTTCTCATCGTTTAAATGGCATCTAACACTCAGTTAAACAAAGCAAGATCACTCTAGAACATATTCTAATCTATATCCGACATATATAAACATTAAGAAAAACAATTGTTCTACTAGCAATATCAGGCGAATAAAGTTTAAGCTATGCATAGATTGAATTAAAAAGACTTGTAATAGTAGAGTATATAAGTATCCTTAGCATGTGTAATTATTAGGTTTATGTTGGTGCGTTTCTAATGCTGCATCCATGATAGTATTGGTGAGTATGTATGGCTCATAATTATAGCATAAACTGATAGGTCAAATCAAGTTGACCTAGTAAAAAAAATGTTAATCATATATGCACGAAAAGTAAAAGCTAGTTTTGATTATCATAATCTTAAAACACTGATAATCTATAATTAAAGTAACAATAAAAATTCTCAATTTGATTGTTAAGGAAGAACAAATCTGAACCATGTATCTCATTAGGCCATTAAGCATCATTACACCCAGAAATAAAAGGCACAGAAATGGTAGATATATATGAGGAAAACCAATCTGTGTTCCATGTCATTGCCACTATCAGTAAGTTTCATAATTAAAATCATTTCAATTCATCATAGCTTCTGTGGAAAAACAAAATTAAATTATTTTTACATCAAAGCGAGCATATATAGGAAACTTCTGAACATGGTGAAATGGATGTACAGAGAAACTAGCTAAGATATAATCCTGTTTCTTCATCGTTAACATCCAAAGTATGACACTTTTTAATATGCAGGGTCGGAAAATTTTTAAGTTTGATTTGTATCTTCAGACGGGTTGTAGCCTGTCAGTGTTTGCTAGGTGCGTTTACTCTAGTTTCATATGAATCAGTTTCGTATTTTGCCATAAGTTATGAAGATCCTATCTGCGTATATGGAGTTCAACTCAGTAACAGATATGCTTGCTAAAAAGTGGGATTAGAAGGGTCAGACCACTGCATTGGGAGGCTTTATAAATTTTCAAATTTCTAATGGCTGATGCATCTGCATGTGAGTGTTACTAGTTTGGCTATTGGGTTAGAGTCTGACACAGCTTATGGTCTTGTCTTCAGCTTTATGGGCGTTACATATTTGTTTTGAGACCCTATAATGTTTGTTGTTTCGGCTACAACATTGTCATGATTTATATCCTTTAATAATATTAAAAGTACTCTTTTTCTCTTCTACTGTTCGGGACTAGATCCTATCTTGTATGGATTAAGAAGAGCTTTATAATCAGACTCGATTTTCTTTAGATAATGGATTATCTTGATTTATCTTTGTGTAATATAGTTTTATTTAGGGAAGTCATCAGATAGAAATATTCATTCGATTTTTTTTTTTAAATCTAAAGCTATGTAGTTTTTACTCGATAAGTATTTTCTTGTGTAGATTGAAACAAAATATAGTGAAAAAGACTTCCCTTTTTCCTTTCTTCTGTGAAGGATATTGAATGAGACTCTGTAACAAATATGCAAAATGTTTTGGGGCCAATACCTTTTTATCCATCGCAATGAAGTTAGAATAACCTTTGTTCATGTCTTTGAAGTATGCTGCCCAAATTATTAGAAAATCAACATTTGGTCGTTTTGATCATGTTTCTCATTAACATTGGGAATGCCTTGCAGAGAATCTAAAGAATCATCAGATGAAAAGTTGTTTCGGTTGAGTATCGAAACTGGCGGATGTTCTGGATTTCAATATATTTCCGATCTGGATGACAAAACCAACCCTGATGATTGGTTCATTCTTCTCCATTTTTTTCACCATTCTTTGTTTTCGTTGGGACAAAACTACGCAAAACTCATTCTTATCTTGTTCATTGTATAGACATATCTTTCAGGTCGATTAAGTTGTAGAACCAAAGTCATTTTCTTGAAGCTAACATAGGTATCCAACACGCATTAGGCCATAAGTAAAAGCTAACCTAGGTCGAAATCATTGTGGAGGCAACAACAAATTTAAGGGTGCGTTTGTTTGCCGTAAAACCAATTACGGAATTGGTTTTTCCGGAAATCCCGTGTTTGTTTCATGTAATTCGTTTTTCGGAAAATATTTTCCCGTGTTTGTTTCACGTAATTCATTTTCTGGAAAATGTTTTCCCGTGTTTGTTTCACGTAATTCGTTTTCCGTAACGTAATTCATTTTCCTAGTAACAGAATTTCCTTTGTGTTTTCTGTAAAATGACTTACAGATTCATTTTCCGTAAGTCATTTTCCGAACTTTTCACTTTAGAACAAAAATACTTAAAATAATTTTATTTTATGAATTTAATATTAATAAAATATTTTAATATCATTTTCATCAAAATATTAATTATTAAAATATTTAAAATATATTTTTAATATTTATAATAATATAATATAATATTTTTAGTTTAATAATATAATCAATTATATTATAATAATATAAGATATTATATTTTTTATTTTAATAATATATAATAATTTTTTTATATATTTAATAATGAATAATATTTTTTATATATTTAAAACATATACTAGTAAAGATATTTAAAATATACTAATTAATATTTTTAAAATATAATATAACACTATTACTTTAATAAATAATTAATATAATTTATAATATTTTATTTCACTAAAATATACCAATATTAATATTTTTATTAATAAAATTATAAAAAAATATTTAATAATATATAAATTATTTTAATATTTTAAAATAATAATATTAAGTTTTATGAGAAATAATATTATTTATTATATTTAATATTTGTAATAAATAATTTTTAAAAAACTCTTCAACTAGTGGAAAAAAGGTTTAAATAACATCTTCCAAACATCATAAAACGTTTTTCGTATGTTTTCTAGAAATGTAATTCATTTTCCAGAAATGTAATTCATTTTTCAGAATTTAAATTACAGTAATTCATTTTCCAGTAATTCAAATTCCAGTAATTCATTTTCCGGAAAATCAATTACAGGCAAACAAACAGACCAAGTGTCTATTTGTTTGGTTGTAATTGGTTTTCTGGAAAATGAATTATTAAAATTTGAATTACTGGAATTTAAATTATTGGAAAATGAATTACTGGAATTTGAATTATGGAAAATGAATTACATTTCTAGAAAATGTTTCCCGTAAAATGAATTACATTTTTTTGAAAAATATCCAGAAAACGTTTTATGATGTTATTTAAACTTTTTTCCACTAGTTGATGAGTTTTAAAAAAATTATTTATTACAAATATTAAATATAATAAATAATATTATTTATCATAAAACTTTAATATTATTATTTTAAAAATATTAAAATAATTTATTTATTATTAAATATTATTTTTATAATTTTATTAATAAAAATATTAATATTGGTATATTTTAGTGAAATAAAAATATTATAAATTATATTAATTATTTATTAAAGTAATAGTGTTATATTATATTTTAAAAATATTAATTAGTATATTTTAAATATCTTTATTAAAACATTATTATATTAATATTAAATATATAAATAATATTATTCATTATTAAATATATTACAAATTTATTATATATTTATTAAAATAAAAATATAATATCTTATATTATTATAATATAATTGATTATTTTATTATAATATTAAAAATATAATATAATATTGTTATAAATATTAATAAATATATTTTAAATATTTTAATAATTAATATTTTGATAAAAATGATATTAAAATATTTTATTAATATTAAATTCATAAAATAAAATTATTTTGAGTATTTAGTCTTTGAAGTGAAAAATTCAGAAAATAACTTACGGAAAATCAGACCGTAAGTCAATTTCCAGAAAACACAAAAGAAATTCTGTTGATCAGGAAAATGAATTACGTTGACCAACCAGTTTTACTTCAACCAAACACTGGAAAACATTTTCCGGAAAACGAATTACGTGAAACAAACACAGGAAAATATTTTCGGAAAACGAATTACATAAAACAAACACAGAATTTAAAAAAAAATCAATTCCGTAATTCATTTTACGACAAACAAAAAAATTCATTCATGATCAAACAGTGGGCTGAGATTTTCAGTTGAGCCAAACCACGTTGTAAATATTTTTTTCTACTATTTTTATTTTTGGTCTTGACAAATTATTTCGACACAAACGTACAATGCATATTTCACGTGTAAATATTTGAATATTTGAATCCATTAAATATTGGCTTATTTATCAGAGTAATATTCATTTACTTTCTCGTATACATTGTAAATCATCCACAATTCTGAAATATCCCAGCTCTTTGTTGATAAAGACATGTTTCCCCAAAATAAACAACATTTTATTGCAACAACGCGCATTGCCACCAAATAGATGTATGCTCAGACACATCACTTAACAACTTCGAAAGAAACAAAAAAAGGGGGGGGGGGTCAATTTCATTCCTCAGATTGCCTCTGACCCAGCACCGGAATGTCTTCATAACGTTTCTGTTGTATAGCAAATAAAATCAAACATACAAGTTAGTATATGGACTATGTAAGCTCAATTATTGCAGACCATGATCAGGCCGCTGTCAATACACTATGCAAACAAGTTTCAAGGGTGCATTGTGTTGGATAACCCAAAGATAACCATTTCACCTTTACGAAATTGAATCTATATTGAGACATTCAAGAACAGAAGAATTTTAGCTTTAGAGAATGCCTTTGCATCAACTGTAACTATGTGCACAACTGACATAAGGTAACAACAATAAGCCTCACAGATTGAACATGATGAAATGCAAAACAAGTTACCGTACGTCCATACCTGCCAGTTGTTAAGCCTTCTATGTAATCACAACAATATTTCATTGCAAAGCCAAAATTTTCGAAGGTCGTGATACTGAGTTTGCAAAGAAATTACAAATCTTCCTAGATCCTTTCTCCGGAAAGCCCATCAAAAGCAATTGGTGAGATCAAACATATACATATTCCCATATTTTCCCAAAGGTTTTTATTAACTAACAGGACTGTGCGAGCACAAGGATGGTAGTTCTTCAACAAAATTTAACATTACCCAAAGATCACAAAATACACCATGGAATGTACTTAGAAGTAAAAAAAGCTATAAAAAACTAATAAAGCCCTTAACAGGGATCAACATTTCACTTGAAATTAAAGCTTATTTAGCACAAATCAAAGGAGAAGGGCTTATTTACATTAAAAAAGTATAAAGAGATTATTAAATAAGGAAGAGGCACGTCAGGCAGTCCTAATTGCTATAAGGGTGCGTTTGGTTCACGGAATGTAAGATTACCAGTGGGAATAAAAGATTACCAGGGAATAGGATTACTGGGAATGTTGTATTTTGTGTTTGGTTGGTTTAGCAGGAATGTAAGATTACCGTGTTTGGTTAAAGGAATAAAAGATTATTCGAATGTATATTTGACCAAATTGTCCTTATTATATATTTGTATAATATTACAAATTATAAAATATTTATATATTTTCTTTAAAAAATTAAATTCATAATATTTATATAATTTTTTTACAAAATTAAAAATATAAAAAAGGTTTAATGAAAGGGTAAATTTTTTTTAATCCCTGAACTTCATATAAAATTTTAATTATAGAATTTTTTTTGTAAATCTAAAATAATTTAAGGATAAATTTGTAATTTAACATTCGTAGAATTTTTATTATTCAATTATAGAAGAAGGATATTTTTGAAAAAAAATAAAAATTTAAGGACATTTTAGTCCAAAACGCCGGTAATGTTACAATACCTAAGGGAAGGGAGGTAATGACATTCCCGGTAATATACCCAAAAAATCTACTATTGTTAATAAAACATTACCGGGAATGAGATTTCCGGCCAACCAAACATGGGAATGTCACAATCCTTGAACCAAACACCTCCTAAAGGTTTAAAAATCTTGCCACTAGGAGAGTAGAGGCTATCCTATCCATGATGCAATCAAATAAAAATCCCAGTGTGCCTTGGCAAAGTGACAATGAATTAACTACCGAATTTGCCAATCAGATTCCAAATAATGTACAAATAAAATACACAGTAAAACTGGTATTCTTAGAATTAGAAAATTTACCCCAACATTGTTGTATTCCCAGAGCTTATGAACTCCATAATCCACAGCCTACAAAAGTCGATTCGATTACAATAAGAATCTTCACCATTTTTTTCTCCTTACATCAATAGTCATAAAAAAGAACTAACCCTAAACATCATAGAAAGTCATCACTTCCAATAAAAAATATCAATCCTCCGACCAAAACTATTCCAATCAGTAAATAAATAAACCAAAATTTTTTTTTCTCTAAAATCAGAACTAAAATTCAACCGAAAAAAGGAATCAAGAACGGAAATGAGAGAGATCCAAGGGGGAAGAAAAGTGTTAGAACTTACCCGTTCTCCGAGGAAAGCACCGGCGATGACAAAGGTGACGTAGACGGAGTTACGGCGCATGATAACTCTATAAAGACCTTCGAAAAGGCCTCCTTGACCTCTTCTCTTAGCTGCGTAGTCCATGGCGATTACTGAAGATGTTAGGAAGTCGATCTTGCTGGGATCTGCGATAAGGGTTTGCAGGGATCTAAGAAGTGGGGAAATGTTTATGCTTGTAAGGATGAAGTTTCTTAGAAGAGTTTTCGGGTCGAACCGAAATGTATCGATTTAGTTCAGTTTAATTTGATGGGCCCAATAGGTCAGTTTTTTGGGCCTTATCTTGCTCAATGCCATTTTATTACATAATAGATGTAAAATGAAAATGATTTTTTGATGTTTGAGATATCTTAATTATGAAACTCAGTCGTTTTAATTCGATTGATATTGTTTTTATTATAATATTCTATATTTTTATGGTCTTACGAAACAGTTTATGTATAAAGATAGTAAGTTATTTCTCCAACATCAATTGCTATTGAAGGAGCATAAGATGGATGTAATTTCTTTTTTAGTTTAATCATCGAATATCTAATTTATTGATCGATTAATTTAGATCGAGTATTGTAATACTATGTTATAATTCGATCCTCCTAGAATCAAATAGTTGGTTGAGAGGGTCATGGATATAAATTCGGTACAGAACAGTGGTGCCATAGGACAGGGATGGACCTACGTAAAAGAGTGAATGAATATAGATCACAAATACATATGTTTCTTTATGCAGGTTGGCTCAGTTATTGATTAGCAAGTCCTTTTATCAAACCAGTGGCGTAGAAAGGGCTCAAAATAAAAAAAAAGTAGAAACTGTGATTGAATGCTGCACTGTGGTATAGGAAAAAGTGAAGAACTACTTTGTGGTTTTGCATACGTATTGTGTCAGAAACTTGTTTAAATTTATCATGGAAACATAAAGCACAACCTGTGTGTATAATTTGTAAGAGCAAACATGAATTTTTTTGGTAAGCTTGGACCATCCGTGAGCCATAATTGGTTCATCATTCATGTCTTTACGATTCAACTCAATAGATTTGGCATCCTCGAATACGTAGGAGTGGAATTATTCTATTGAAGTTTCTGCTTTTATCATCAATGAAACCTCTGATGAAGCCATTTCCTGCAACAACTAATCTTTGAAAACCAACCAAAAACCAAAGAAAGAATGGAAGAAACACAGCAATCATCCATCGTAAAACTAAATCAAAGTTAAATTTCTCTTAACTAAAAAGATTTTACCAGATTACGCTGCCTACAAAACAAACAACCCCTTCCCATTTTCTTTCAATTATGGTTATTATCCTTGCATTATCCTTGGACATGAAAATTTATTATCCTTGCATTATCCTTGGACATGAAAATTTACTTCAGATACTTGGATTTTCAACGTAATTTGGTACTCATAGTTTAAACACCAGAAAACATATGAAAGATACTGATAATAATTCAGCACCTGTTTTCTATTCTAAGCCTGCCAGAAGTTCATCTTGGTCCTTGTTCAACCAAAGCAGCACGAGCCGACGTAATCCCACTGGGAACCAAACAATCATCAAATGCAGGGCAATCGATCCAATCTTTCAAAAGTTCCTCTTGACCCCATATATCTGGAATCCAAACCCTACTTTTTGCCGTTTCAATCCTATGTCTCTTCAGTCTCTCCCGCCCATTGTCTTCTTCTTCAGCCGCTCCTATAGCAACTTCATCAATGACTACTTTTCGAACGCCATCAGCCGATGAACACCGACCCTTTAACAAGCTTCCCTCGTCATGAATATAGTCAGCTTGCAGAGTTTTGTTGGGCTGTTCTTGTTCCAGAAACTGGGGAGGATTTGGAGGGTGGGTGGTCATTTGTGTTGGTTTTTGTAAGTTCATGATCCCTTGAACGTTGGGAGAGAGGAGAGAGGAGAGAGGAGAGAGGAGAGAGGAGAGAGGAGAGAGGAGAGAGGAGAGATTGAAGGGTTTAGGGAGTGGGAAAGAGGATATAAAAGATTAAAGAATGGGTGGGGAGTTCGTTTACACGTCATTTATGGCTTACAAAACATTTGGAGTTGGTTTGGTGTGTGTTTTGTATGGTTTGTGAGAAAAGTACGTGTCTTGTCTTCAAATGGTTTGGATTCCATTTTGTGTATGTGGTTTTTAGTTTTAAAGTTTTTATACACAAAAAGGCAATGGAAACAGATTTTTATTTTTAGCAAACAAAACCAATCAATCAGTTTTTATTTGATTTCCTTGGGTTGATTTTAGGAAAGATTGTGAGGTTTAAGTTTTTTTTTTCATACAGATAGTAAATAAAGTTTCAAGGTATTTTTTTGTTTATTTTTTTCGTAGTTAGATTTAATACTGATTAAAATAGTATTAGATTCACTCTTAGTTCATGATGGGCACATACCTACTCTAAAATTTAAATTTTCTATAGTTAATTATTTATTTTATTGATTGTGCTCTTTCTAAAATTTTATTTGTACCTATCCCATAAAAAAACTTTGTGTTATTAATGCACACGTGCTTACTCTAAAAATTATTTCTAAATTTGCCACTAGATCAAGATGACACTTATTTATTAAACTATTGATCTTTCCTACTTTGAACCCTTGGATTAGATTTGAATACGCGGTTTGTGTCCATGAATAATTTTCTCATGTCGCTCGTATTTGATTAACGATTTGTCGATGATTTTTTAATAGTTTGATACCCTTTTATGGTTTATTTGCATATGTAATAGATCTATTCACATCTATCTTTTGTCTTAAGTTTTTCAATGAATTTTTAACCTTTTCCTTGTATATGTTTCTTGTATAATCTCAAGTAACTAATTTTTTATATCAATAATTATAAGAAAATATTATATTTACATGTTTAATTTACGACTATAGTTATAAACATTCATTATAATTTTGAATATTCTTTATTTTTAATATAACTAACTATTTCTTTATATAAATGAATTATGACATTTAACTTTTTCCTATATATCTTTCTTGTATGATCTCAAGTAACTAATTTCTTATGTCAATAATTGTAAAAAAATATTCTATTTACATATTTAATTTACAACTGTAATTATAAACATTTATTACAATTTTAAATATTCTCCATTTTTAATATAACTAACTGTTTCTTTATAAAAAATAATTATGACATTTTTTTTTAACTATCAATATTTATTCACTAGCTTATTTCCCTTCGGCTTAAGAAGTTTACTATTTACTAGGCCATATATTTCTTTTAAAAGAACGACATGTGATCCTATGATTGAAATATCAAATCCAAAAACAAGAAGTTAAAAAGGTGTTTGGTTTAAAAAAATCATTATTAATTTTTTTTAAATTATATATCCACATTTGGTTTAAGAGTATTTCTTCTCGGATTATGAAGTGTTCTTTATCGTAGTAATTTTGGGCATTTTTCCGAAAATATCATTACTTCCCTTTTCTTAGGTATTAGACAATTCCCTTTCCTTAGGACAATAATACCTCTGAAATAATATATTTGTTTCAAAATGATCCTTCAATTTATATGTAATTACATGATTATGATTATGAATCTATTTTATTTCATTTTTTTAATGATTTCATATTTTTAGTACTTATTGTAAAATAATATGATGCATATGAAATAAAAAGTAAAATAAAAATATATCAATTTTTTTATTTTAATTATTTATTGTGTATGCATTTGGTTCAATTTTTATTTTTTATATGTGTTTTATAACATTTATTTTTTAGGATTACTTTTCATAAAAAAATATATTATATTTTTTTAATGTTTTCTATTAGTTTTGTCAAATAATTTGATATGATATTTCATTGTACAACTCACACATGTAGCATGAATAAAATAAAAAAATGTATCATTTAACACATACTTACACCGATGTAAGTATGTACCTATCTTAATATATTGGTATCTAAAAATAAACACATAATTGTATTGGTGTATATGTTTCTATATTTTTAAAGAAATACAAAATTAAAAATAATAAAAATATATATTAAGTTATTTATTTAAAAAATTGTTAAAAATATATAAATTAGAAATAATAATTTTATGTGAATTTTCATATAAATATTTTGACTTTAATATTGAATTTAACTGGTTAAAAAAGAAAATATATTTTAAAGACAATATGGTAAAACATATATTTTTCCTATCTTATATTCCTTCAATCACACATTATAGTTTTACATTCCCGCCAAACAAATCACACACAATAATACAACATTTCCAGTAATATGTTAAGCAATGTAACATTCCAATAATCATATTTTCAAACTTAATTTTACATTATGTGAATCAAACGACTCTTAAGTCGTGTCCTCACTCAAAGCTTATTCTGGAGCTTCAAATATCTTCCTATAAAAGTCTGGTTATGATTTATTAAAAGGTAAAATAATGAATAAAGATTTATAATTTGAGGATTTTTGTTAAAAGAATCAATAAATTCTTAATTGAAATTATTTGAATACTATAAAAGTTTGTTATAGAGATAGTCCTCTTAATTTAATTTATTCTATTTATAACATTGAATAGTAAATAATTAAAAATTTAAAAATTTAATAGTATGAATAATATAACGTCTAAAGTTTGATGGTATATGATGCAATTTACTCTTATTTTATTTAGTGTAACCCGTGTACATTGTTGGCTGTTACAAATTAATTGAAAGAGTATTACGGTAATAGTTCTTGCTCTAGTCTCTATCATCAAATCTACGGGTTTAGTGGCAATTATGTGTATTACTAGTAATATTCCTTTAAATTTAATGACATTTAGACTCTTTATAAAGATATTTTATTCCTTGATAGACCTCTTCTCCTTTCACTTTCTCTCCTTCAAAATTTCTCATTTTTTCTTTTCTAGAAATACTTTTATGTACGTCGTTAGAGTACACGTGTATGTACATACACATACAAATATTTAATGATACAAAAATACAAAAGGCACGAGAAACTGATTAATTATGTAGAATATCACAAGGGATGGACCTACGAGACGAGATATATATGATATATTTATTTGTACTTTTAATTAATAATTTATTTTTATTCTTAAAATTTTAAAAATCTATTCCTAATATAAAATTATACGTCCGTCTTTATATATATATATATATATGTATGTATGACCCACACTTTATGATATTAGAGCTTTTCTTTAAAATTGAACATACACTTCAAAACTTTTAGGGAATATAAGTATTTCATTCAATTCCTTTTCAAAAAAAAGTATTTCATTCAATATATATATGTGTGTGAATAAATTTACTTTTTTCAAAACATTACTAATATTTTATTAATAATTATAAAGAATCTATTAAGTGGTTTTAATGGTAAGAAAGAATGTTATTCACCTTAAAAAATTCGAGTTTGTACAATTATGTCTATAGAATATGTATATATTATCTTATAATCCCCTCGTGATAATAAAATAATAATAATTACAAATAGATGTTAAAATTCAAAGCCATAACTAATTTATGAGGTGTCAATGGAAGTGCATCTGAATACTATATTGTTTTTTTCTTTCATTTTTTGAACCATAAAATCAAATGGAAAGGAAAGAAATAAGTGATTTTCTTTTGTCTTTGCTAACACAAATCGGTGGTGGGGCTTGTTATCCATGTGGGCATGTCTTTTAATTTTGGACCCTACCTTTTTCATGTCAAATAAAGTATTTATGAATTTCAAATTTATAGGTGATTATAAAAAAAGAATATCCAATTTTAAATATACGACTTTCTTATGAAGTTTTCTTTCAAGTATAATTACAAGATTAATTTTAATTAATTTTTATATGTTTTTAATTAATATTTAAATAATAATTAAATATATATAACGCTAGATTAAATTCATTTATAAAATTTTATCATAAATATATTAAATAATAATCTCAATTAATATAAACAATTAATTTTTTGGTGAACAAGAGTTTAAATTAACTAAAAATCAAACATGTCTGGCCATAATACAATCTAAAAGTAAAAAGGATAGAGTTTTAGCTAAAGGATTTAGGAAAACTCAAAACTCAGCTGCATTAGTTTTCGCAAGTTTAACTAATCTATCTGCGACCATATTTATTTCTTGGAGATATGACAAATAAAGATCGTCCAATCTCTTTTCATAAACTCACATATTCTACTCATGAGCGTCGACGACGTGCTTGAGTATTGTCTCGTTTACAGTTTTCGAAACACCACCAAATTATTTACCTCCATGATAACTATCCTTTCTTGCTTCTTTGCTTGTGATAGTCCTTCTTCGTATACTTCCCATAATTCATCTTCAATTACATATATCATATACATATCATATACTTGAGAATGCATTTTCTCACCGTCTCTAACGCATTTTGCAGGCACTATCGACACTCTGCCGGCGTAGGACTCTCCCAACACTGCCCCAATGCGTACACTTCATCGAATACAAATACGAAAAGAGAAAATGAAAATGTCCTGCTGCAAAGAAATGGTCAATGTTGCATACATGTTGTCAACGGCAGAGCCCCGTGCATGGTGTAGATGCTCGTTTTTATCCGAGTCTAGGTCGGAGCAGGCCCGAAGCAAACCAATTACAGGCCCCATTCAAGCCCAATGGACAACAGATATATGCACAAGAAAAGAGCAGTTTGAGGGTCGGTTTTTAGCAGTTTTGGTTTTTAGGAAATAACCACCCATCATCAGTAAAAGGAGATTAACCACGGGAAACTAGCTAGAGAGGGGAAAACTAAAAAAAAAAAACTACTAGACATTCACAGAAAAATTACAGAGAAAGAACGGGGAAAAAGGAGAACAACTTGTAAAATTGTTGGTTCACCATTTTGAAAGCAATAAAAAAGGAAACATTTTTTCTCCTGATTTTCACTCTCACAATTGCAAGGATATCAATCATTTACAAAAGGGCAGTAGCATTCTCTCAAGCAAAAACAACAAAAAAACAACAAACATTAATAAGGAGGTATTTCATCTTATTTTGTTTATTTTTAGTAACTATTCGTATATGTGGTATTTATTTAGGAAGAAAATAAAGGTTAGAAGATTACCTATTTGAGTCACCTGAATCAAAACCAGAGTGTTGAGAGTTGCTCGAGAAACCTTGTGCATGAGTTAGGGTTAGTTTTTATGTTGGTGTTTTTTAAAATAAAAAGAGTAAGAGTAGAAAGAGAGACCATTTACCTTAGAGAGGAACTTCTAGCCGGAGAGGAGAGGAGGAAGACTAGGAACGGTCTTAGGTGATTGGGTCTGTTTTGGTTGTTTTGGGGTTTGATTCGAGATTAAGAGGGAAATAGATGGTTTTTAGGTCGACTTGGGTGTCGGTTTAGCCATTTTCAGTTGTGCTAAGTGGTGGCCGGTGGAGACTAAGGCTTTTGGAGTCTCGACTGTGGGAGAAGAAGGAAGCTATAGTGAGGGTTTAGGCTTGGTTTAGGGGTGAGAATGAGAGGGATGAGAGAGTAGAAGAGAAACGGCGATGGTGGTTCAAGGAGAGAAGCGGCGCTGGGGACCGGTTTAACATAAATGAGAATAGGGTTTAAGGTGCTCAGAATATTACACAAATATTAGATCTTCAAAACGGCAACACTTTGAGAATGGCCGATTTGTGTGGGTTATTCAACACTTGGGTCATTTGAACTTTCAGTTTCATGCATTTTAATCCTTAAATCGTTGTGTTTGTGTTTCTAATTTTGTCTCTGTGTTCTATCCGAATTTAATGTTAGTCCTTAATATGAATGTATTTAAATATTTATTGTTTAGACATTTCACTTTTAACTTTTCCATGTTTCGTTTCAGTTCCTAGGTCGAAGTTTACATGTTTCTAATTCTGTCTATTTATTTTATATTCATTTAATTTTCGTCCTAAATGTTGATGTTTTAATTTCCGTTGTTTAGATATTAGACTTTAAAGTTTTTACATGTTTCATTTTAGTCCATGTTTAAGTTTCTTATGTGTATGTATGTATGATTAGTTAGGATTCGTTTAGGGTGTATGCTTATCCTAGGTTTGAATGATGGTGATATGTGCGCATATGTAATTATGTGGTTCATAAGCATGAATTTAGATGTAATATATCCTTTTATTTAATTGATCTTTGCATGACATCATTTTTGCATAATGTATGATACCCTCATGTGCATAATTCGACCATACGACATAATTGGATTAAGGGTAATATATTTTTTATTTTAAAATTGTTTCAAGTGGGCAGTCATAACTGATTTGAGGTCCGCTTTTAATGATTTTAAAATAAAAGTGTATCCCGAAAGTGAAACCAAAAATTGATTCGTCATCTAAAATTTGGGAACTAAAGAAAAGGAAATGTTCGTTTATTTAAATTTATCGAGAAAAGGTTGTTATAACTTTTAAGATCTGGTCTCGACATTTGTAAATAATCAAACATTCTTTATCTTTCTAAAACGACTCGGTAATTTTAATTTAATTTATTTGAGTGCTTTTGAATGTTTTAAATTTACATTTTTATTTTTATTTTATGGGATCAAAAATTAAATTAAATTCGAATTTGTAAAGTTCATTACAAAGACGTTAATTAATCGACTAGGTACCGATTTAGGGCGCTGTGGGGTGCTAATCCTTCCCCGCACGTAACCGACTCCCGAACTCGGATTTTGGTAACGCAGACCTTAATTTTTTGTTTTAATTAAAATTAATTTTTATTTAAAATGACAAAGCATTTTTGGGTGCCCAATCACACCCTAATCAAAGATTGGTGGTGACTCTTCGAACCGTATTTTTCGATCGTAAAGGAAATTCAAAATTTTTCGAAACGAGAGGTCTTTTAAATCGCTTATGTTTTTAAAATAAAAAGAGACAATTAAGAATTAATGTGGTTTTCAAAATCTCACCTTTTTTCACCTTTTGAGGGAAAAATCGTTTCGACAGCTTGGCAACTCTGCTGGGGACCTTTTTTTTTAGAGAGTCAAGCCGATAGTCGATTAATTAATTGTCTTTGCAATTGAAAATTACAAATTCGTTTTAATTTGATTTTTGATCCCTTGTTTGGTTTTTAATAAGTTTCGTTTGTATTTTGATTTTCTTTTAATTTAATTCGATTAATAATTAAATAGTTGTACTAATTTGTTTGCTAATGATTTCAGATTAATTGTGTGAATTTAGGAAATTTTGAGTGTTTTTATTGTGTTTTTTTTTTTCGCTTTTCCTCACACACTGCACAGTTGCATTTTCATGACATGAGCTAAAACCCCGCTCCGTCCTAATTAAGTAGGAGTGAGAGACTATGCCCTCGTGTGGTTTTCACCTCCGCTTGGGATAGTGGATCGCTCCTGGAGCTCACGCCTTATGGTCCTCGTGATGGTAATCACCTCCGCATGGACATAAGGAGGTGTGTTCCCTCGAAATTGAACTCGATCCCCTAAAGCCTGTGATGGGCCAGGATTGAGGGTTCGGCAGCCCAAGGGGGCACCGACAAGGACAATTCGAGAACCTATTACTTTAGAACCTAACCCAGCATATAGTGAATGTAGAGCCTGAACTTAAGTTGAGCCAAACCCGAACCTTAAGAATCCCGTGAGGAGGGTACACAAGGAAAAGCTTTTTTGAGTCATTTATTTTCATTTTTTCGAATAAATGCATGCGAACTAGATATCATGCGGTTAGGTTTATTTTTTGAACAATCATGCGAATTAGATATCATGCAGTTATGATTTATTTTTGTGAATAACAAAGCATGAGGGTAGATATCATGTTGGGTAGGATCTGATAAAGCATGATTGGGTAGCCAGCATGTGTGGGTAGGATTCTTGAATAAATTATTATCCCGACTTAATTGCTTTATGTATACTAACCGATCTTTTGTTATCTTTGCCTTGTTTCTTTTCTGTTTTGCATTGCACGATCCATTACATGGTGTTGATTTGGGATCGATGTCCATATAGAAGGCCAGTAATATGGAACGAACGGTTCAGAAAGAGGTTGAAGACAATGCAGATATTTTGAGGTGGTCGAAACAGTCTCAACTGACCAATGGGGATATCATGATGCTTGGATACGTGTCGGAGTTATTTGGTTATACTCACATCAACGTGCGTCATAATGATCTAAGTGAGCTAAAGGAGATATGGGGAAGATGGACAATAGCCGATAAGGAGATATTTTATCAGTTGTACGGTAATATTCCTTATCTTCTGGATGTTCCTATTGATCGAAATATGTTTAGAGCGTTGGCACAATTCTGGAATCCGGCTTACAACTGTTTCACATTTGGTAGAGTGGATATAACACCAACAATAGAGAAGTATCAAGCTTTGGTCTGTTGTTCGAGGTCCCAGATGGATAGAGTATATACCAAGCTGCCAGTCACTCATTCGTTTAAGAAGAAATTACTATTGATGACCGGAATGAGTGAAGATTGGGTAATCAGAAACATTAAGAAGAAGAGAGACAGTGAGTGTATCTCTTGGGCTGCTTTGAAAGAAGTAATTGATCATCACCCTGATAAGAGAAAGAAGCTTGACTTGTTTTCTTTAGGGATTTATGGGCTCATTATTTTTCCAAAGGTGCTAGGATATGTAGACGTATCAGTCGTTGATCTGTTTGAAAGATTAGACAAGCACGTGGATCATGTTCCAGCCATTTTAGCTGAGACGTTCCGGTCTTTGAGTTCTTGTAGGCGCGAGGGAGAATGACGCTTTATAGGATGTGCGCCTTTGCTGCTAGTGTGGATTCTGAGTCATTTCAAACATGTTGAAAGGGCACCAGGACGAGTATTTCTAGACGGTTTCTCACCTTTGGAAGATTTTCTTTCTAAAGAGTGGCCTGGGGGTTTTAGCGAAGAAAAATGGATGGTCATCTTCAAGGATATCAGAGATGGTGATATTTTGTGGCGAGCTTCGTGGAATACCTTTTCGGATATACTTTACCGATGTGGAGAGCGAGATTGGGTTCCTTTGCCAGGTATATGGGGTTCTGTTGGGTATACACCGCTAATAGTTTCCAGACAGTATGGATCGAGACAGTTCATTCCAGCCACGTGAGACTTGGTAGGATCGGATTTTGCATTCAAAGGAGATCAGTATAAGGGTAAAGTTAAAGGGGTTGCTGAGGTCTGGAAGCAAACTCGTCGCGTGAATTTGTTCACCTATGATCTCGAGTTATCTCAAGAGTACAAGCAGTGGAGAAGCGGTCGAGTAAACGATAACATCCCAATAGTGAATCCTAAAAATATTCAGCCGGTGGAGGAACAGTTAAGAGTGGTGCCATCTCCATTAGAGTTAGCCAAGCGTGATTTCGAAGCAGAACGGAGACAATGAAGAATGACTTTACAGAAGCTAGAAGATGAAGTGTATCAAAAGGGATTGGAGATTAACATTCAGAAGAGTAGAGCAGATCGAATTGAAAAAGTAGAGAAGCAACTTCGGCTAGACTTTGACGATCTTCGGTCAACTTATCAGCGAATGGTAAAAGCTCAGGCAGGTTCTAGCTCGAGTAAGTCTGTCGAATTGAGGTAAGAGGTGGCGAGCCTCAAAAGAGTAGCCGGAGAGAGTCAAGAAGAGCTCAAGCAAAGCAGGCACCAAGTGAAGATTTTATCGAAAGAAAAGGATTCTTTAGAGCAGCGGTTACAAAAGAGTCAAGCCCAGAATGAGAAGTTGAAGGAGAAAATTTCAAGTTTAGAGACTGCATTACGACGATACCGAAACAGGGAAGGTAGCTCAAGCCATGGGGAAGTTGAAAGTCTGAAAAAACAAGTGAGTGAGCTTGAAGCCATGGTTCGAGATTTTCAGAGGCAAGCAAGTGAGTTATTGATAGTTCCTTATGAGGGGGATATACAATGGCATTTTCGATGGGAGCGAGCTCAGGCGAGAGTTAAGCAAAGAGAAGATCTTATTGCTTGTTACCTAGGACACGCGCAGAGAATAGCTCAATATTTGGTCATTTTATCCGAGGAAGCTGCTGATGTGACTGAAGAACTGGATCCCGAGGCTGAAGAAAACCAGAAGATCGTGGAGTTGCTAGCACATGTACAGCAAATAAGAGAGATGGTGCAGATTTATTTGTGATATGTTTCAACTTTGTAATTGAACATCATTCTAATATAAAGAGTTATTTTAAGGAGTCGTTCCAGGATCAACACCCTGCATTTTGCATATGCATTTTTAGTACATTTAATTTTTTGCATCACATTTTATTCATTCATAATCATATAAATCATATTCTTTAATAAACAATAATGTTAACAAAATAACTCTGTGACAGAGTAATACTGGAAAATCCCAAGCATACCTATAGAACCAAGAAGAAAGTTATGGAGGACAAACTTGCCCAAATTGAGAAGGTTCAGTTGGAGTTACAAGATAATATCAAGAAAATGCAAGAAGATATGATGAATGCCCAAAAGGAGATGTTTGCCAAGTTTGCGAGTATGTTGGAAGGAAGAAATCCAGAACATGGGAAAAGCCCTATGCCAGAAGGTGTAACTGAGGACCCACTTCATCATCCAGGGTTAACCCCAGAACAATCTCAGAACGTTCAAGTGACCCCTGCACATGTCGGGAAGGTGCATATTAATCCAGTCGGTGCTTTTGTTAACGTACAATCTAGATCTAGTTCATATCAGGAAGAACATCAATATCATCAAGTTCCGGACCTTGATGAAGAAGCCAAGAAGGACCAAAAAAATCCGTTGGAAGAGAAGTGGAAACAGCTAGAAAGAGAAGTCAGAGCCATGAAGGAAGATACTAGTGTCTATGGATTCGACGCAAAGGAATTAAGTCTAGTTCCGGATTTGGTTTTACCTCCAAAGTTCAAGGTTCCTGACTTTGAGAAGTTTGATGGTACCAGGTGTCCCTTTGCGCATATCATGATGTTTTGTAGGAAGATGACCGGATACATAGGGGATGATCAATTGTTGATACACTGCTTTCAGGAAAGCTTAACTGGCTCGGTAATCCGGTGGTATAACCAGCTGAGTAGAGCTAATATATAAATCATGGAAAGACTTGGCTAAGTCATTTCTTGAGCAATACAAACATGTAAAAGATGTTAGACCTAACAGGATAATGTTACAAGGAATGGAAAAGAAGTCTAACGAGAGTTTTAGACAATATGCTCAAAGATGGAGAGATGTAGCAGTGCAAGTCCACCCGCCATTGGAAGAGGAGGAAACAAATATGCTTTTTGTCAACACCTTAAAGGCTCCTTTTTTCTCGCATCTTATCGGTAATCCTTATCGAAGTTTTGCTGATGTAGTTACGACGGGAGAAATGATTAAAATGGCTGTTAAGAGTGGGAAGCTCGAGGGAGGAGAGTCTAGTAAGAGACCACCAACGAGGAAAAAGGAAAACGAAGTCAGTAATATGAGGCAGTACGATTCTAATAACATCACTGTTTCCCATCCTCAAGGAGCAGGGCCATCAACACAAAATGACAATAGACAAGGGGCAAGGGACCAGAGGAGAGAGATGCCTCAATTTAATCCAATTCTGATGACTTATAAGGAATTGTTTCAGATTTTTTATGATCGGCATGTGGTTTTGCCGTATCACGTGACACCAATGCAACCTCCTTTTCCCAAATGGTATGATGCTAGTGCTCAGTGTGAGTACCATGCAGGGAATCCTGAGCATTCTATTGAGAATTGTACTGCTTTTAAGAAGGTTGTCCAAGCTTTGAGAACGAGGAATGTCATCAACTTTGGTGACAGTGAGCAGCCAAATATAGCTCAGAATCCGTTGCCAAGCCATGCAGGGGCAGGAGTTAACTCGATTACTGAAGAGAGAGGAAAAAGAATTGTAAGGAATGTTAGTGAGGTGGTATCACCTATGAGTTGGGTGTGGTGCCAGATGGTTAAGGTAGGATGGTTGAAGCCCAGTTTGATGGTTGAACAGTTTAAAAGTGGAGATATATGTCAGTATCATAACAGTGAAGAACACAATATTCAGCAATGTCCTGACTTCCTATCTTTGGTACAAGACATGATGGACAGTAAAGAAATTGAGTTCTTTAGAGAGATTGCTGAAGAAGAGGAAGCGAAAGTTTGCGCTTCAGAAGGATCGTCTAAAGGGGTATACAATGCTAGTTGTCCCCTAATTATTACTCCCAAAAATCGAGTTACTGAGAAGGTAGCCCCGAAAGTGGTTATTACACCTCCATCTCCATTCCCATATCGGGATAATAAGCAAGTGCCTTGGAGATATGATTTCCAGATGAGAGATGTAACAAAAGAAAATGAGGACGTAGATGAGGTGGGACACTTTACCAGAAGTGGTAGGTGTTATTCTCTTAATCCACCTAAAGAGTCTGAGAAGAAGGTTGCAGTTGATAAAGGGAAAAAGGTTGATGTGCAGATAGAAGAAGATAAGCTTGTTATCAATGAACCAGTAACCGAGAGTGAAGCAGTATAATTTTTGAAGTTTCTGAAGCATAGTGAATACAATGTTGTTGAACAGTTACACAAGTTGCCTGCCCGTATTTCTGTTTTATCATTACTTTTGAGTTCAGAGGCCCATAGGAATGCTCTGTTAAAGGTTTTGAACCAGACTTTTGTTCCGAAAGAGTTTCCCATTGAAAAGTTGGATCGGTTAGTTTCCAATGTACAAGCTGATAATTTTTTATCTTTTTCTGAGGATGAAATCCCTTCTGGGATGGTTGGTAGTCAGAAGGCTTTGCACATCACAGTTAAATGTAAAGGGCATGTGTTGTCTCGGGTCTTGGTTGATAATGGTTCAGCTTTGAATGTGATGCCCTTAGTGACTCTAAAGAAGCTTCCATTAGATAGTACACTTATGAGAACCTGCCAAAGTGTGGTTCGAGCTTTCGATGGGACTAAAAGAAAAGTGTTGGGCAAGATTGATGTTCCTCTGAATATTGGTCCAGCAACTTATGAAGTGGAATTTCTCGTTATGGACATTATGCCTACGTACAATTATTTGTTGGGAAGGCCTTGGATTCATCAGGCCGGTGCAGTTCCGTCCACATTGCACCAGAGACTGAAATTTGTGATTGATAGAAGGTTGGTATGTATTCATGCTGAAGAGGACATTATTGCTTCTGTTTCTACTACTGCTCCGTACATTGAAGTGGATGAGCAAGCAGTCGAGTGTTCTTTCAGATCGTTGGAGTTTGTCAATGCTACATTTGTGGCTGAAGGCAGGAAGATACCAAATCCTAAACTATCAAATTGTACCAAAATGGGACTCAAGCTGACCCTTGGAAGAGGAGCAAAAGTTGGGAAAGGGTTAGGAAGTTAGTTACAAGGACCAGTGAATCCAATATGCCCTGTTACTAAAAGAGATCGATTTGGTTTGGGGTATCAGCCAACTCCGAGGGATAAGCTGAGGGGAATTAAGAAGGGTCAGGAAATGAGAAAGACCAGATTGGCTGGTGAAGACCTTAGATGGGAACCCATGATCTTCCCGCCGTTGAGAAACATTTTCATATCTGGGGGACATATGTTTCAAGGGAATTCAAGGAACACTGAGGTGATGGTTGAGGATGCCTTGGGAGATTTAGGCATTAACGTTATAACTGATGATGAATTTGAGGAAATGAGAGTTATGGGCATTTATCTTGCACCGCTGGGCTTCGTGTTGAACAATTGGACCGCGGAAGAACTGCCTGTAGTTTACAAATCTTTTACAGAGTAATGCACTGGAACTTTCTCCCTGTTGTTCATACCCTGGGGGAATAGGTGATTTTATGTAAAGGATTAAGCTGTTTGTTTTTTCTTGCTTTCAATAAAAGATGCATTCTGTTAGTTCCAAATGGCAAACATTTCCCATGCATTTCATTCATTCATTCATTCTTTGTTGTATATATGTATGTATTTATTTATTTATTTCTATTTATTTATATGGGAAAAGATCATCCCATATGTATATATGTATATATATATTCTCTTTCATTATTTTTTTAGGAGCCCAGATATCAATAATATGAATGCCAATGACTCTGACCCGGAGATTGATTTCGAGAAGCCTATATGTCAAGGGGAAATCAAAGATTGTGATGATGATGAAGGATGTGAACTACCTTCTGAATTGCTGAAAATGGTGGAGAATGAAGATAAGCAGATTCTGCCTCATAAAGAGTCTACTGAGATTTTGAATTTGGGGACAGATGAGGATAAGAGAGAAGTAAAGATTGGTACCACTCTGTCAGTTGGAGGTCGACATGATTTGATAGAATTGCTTCAAGAATACAAAGATGTGTTTGCTTGGTCATACAAAGATATGCCGGGTTTAGATACAGAACTGGTTGTTCACAAACTACCAATAAAGCCTGAATGTAAACCGGTACAACAAAAACTGAGAAGAATGAGACCCTAGATGCTGCTCAAGATTAAAGAGGAAGTGAAAAAATAGTTTGATGCGGGGTTTCTTAAAGTGGCTAAATATCCTGAGTGGGTGGCGAATATTGTCCCAGTACCAAAGAAGGATGGGAAAGTTCGAATGTGTGTTAACTACAGGGATCTCAACCGAGCTAGTCCAAAATATAATTTTCCTTTGCCACATATAGACACACTAGTGGATAATACTGCTGGAAATTCTTTGTTCTCTTTTATGGATGGTTACTCTGGCTACAATCAAATTAAGATGAACCCTGAAGATATGGAAAAAACGACGTTCGTTACCATGTTGGGAACGTTTTGTTATAAAGTAATGCCGTTTGGATTGAAGAACGCCGGGGCAACATATCAAAAGGCCATGGTGACATTATTTCATGACATGATGCATAAAGAGATAGAAGTTTATGTCGATGATATGATCGTCAAAGCTAAGACAGAGGAAGAACATATTGGGAATTTAAGAAAGCTTTTTAAAACACTAAGAAGATGTCAACTAAAACTCAACCCAAATAAGTGTACTTTTGGGGTGACATCTGGGAAGTTATTGGGATTCGTAGTAAGCCAAAAAGGAATTGAAATAGACCCACATAAAGTAAAGGCTATTCAAGACTTGCCACCCCCACGAGTACAAAAAGAAGTCAGAGGATTTTTGGGGAGAATGAATTAAATAGCTCGGTTTATTTCACAGCTGACGGAAAAGTGTGATCCCATATTCCGCCTTCTTCGTAAGAATAACTCAGGGGAATGGAGTGAGGATTGTCAAAAAGCTTTTGAAGCAGTGAAAAAATATTTGTCGAGCACTCCAATCTTGGCGCCACCTATCTCAGGTAAACCATTGATTCTGTATTTGTCGGTTTATGAAAATTCAATGGGGTGTGTGCTGGGGCAACGTGACCAAACTGAGAAGAAAGAAAGGGCTATTTATTATCTTAGCAAGAAGTTCACTGAATGTGAGACAAGATACTCACCCATTGAAAAGTTGTGTTGTGCTTTAGTATGGGCTACCCGAAGGCTTAGACAATATATGTTGTATCATACTACTTGGCTTATATCCAAGCTTGATCCCTTGAAATATCTAATGGGTGTGCCTGCATTATCTGGAAGATTAGCTCATTGGCAGATCTTATTGTCCGAGTTTGACATCCAGTATGTAAACCAGACGGTAATTAAAGGAAGTGCTATAGCGTAATTCATTGCAAGCAGGGCTTCGGAAGAATATGAGTCGTTGAGCTTTGATTTCCCAGATGAAGATTTAATGGCTATTTCGGTAGAAGAAGCAGTTGTATTCACTAGCAAATATGGGAAGTTGAACTTCGATGGTGCTTCAAATGCCTTGGGACATGGAATCGGGGCAATTTTGGTCTCACCAGAGGGAGAGCATTATCCTTTCACTAGTCGGCTTAATTTTGATTGTACTAACAATATGGCCGAGTATGAAGCTTGTGTTCTGGGTCTTAGAGCTAATGTTGAACGCAAAGTAAAAATGCT